TATGGATGTAGCACCCACCCTACATACAGGAACTAAATGACACAGGAGCCAGCAGTTGGGAGAAGGTTGTGATGTTTGCCTCAGTGTGTAATATTTACAAAGATGCACCCTATAGTCTGTCCTGATGTTGGAATTTTAAATTGCTAATTTACATTGTAAGTTATATACACATGGATTTGTTGTTAGAAACTCTAATCTTAAGTTACTACTTACATCCAATGTAAAACTTAAGACAGTAAGTTTTCCACTGAGTAGCATTCAATTTTATTCTTTTGGACAGCACATAAAAAAGAAAGAACTTTTGTTGTTGATAATTTGGAGGGGGGGTTGTGTAATATGTGTGGCCAATGCCTGTGGAGGTCAGAGGTGAATATTGAACCCTCATCTGTCTCCCTATGCAGGGCTCACAGACACACCCCACACCAGCTTTGTTGCATGGGTCTGGACATTCAAACTCAGGTTCTTGCACTTATAGTAGCAGGAACCTTTACCCACTGAACCATCTCTTCAGTTCCAAAAAAGCTAAGACTCACAGCTCAGTCCCTGTGTTCACTTACACGTATAACACAGTTCTCGTATTTCGTGTGAGGCACTGTTATTTTCCATTACAGTTTTTCAGTGAGGGCCGCAATGTTGCTCAGAGTTAGAGACATGCATCATGTCTTGCATTTGATTCCCAGCACTAGAAGAGGAAATAAAAGATCTCACTGATCACTGCCTGCATATGTAGCTGCAATAGTATAGAGGCTTATTTGTAATAATTGCTGATGTTTGTGACATATCTGGCCTTAGGGACTCAGTGTGGCCCCTGAGGATCCACCCTTCTTGGTTCCCAACTACTTTCATCTGCAACAGTCCCCTGCCTGCTCCTCTGTCTGGAAAAGAATGGGGCAGTGGGGTGGTGGGGGTGCTTGGTGAGTTTGGATGCCACCCTGCAAGTGCTGCTCTGACCCATAGACCCAGGTGGACTATATGGGGTGGGCACGTTCCTTGAGAAATGAGTCTCGTCTGTTTTGAAGACACATGAGCTTTGTGTCCACTTCAGAGCTGCCATCTCTAACTAGCATGCTCATAAGGACACTGGGGCTGCAGTAGGGTTTCACTGGGGCCGTGGTTCCAGTTCCCAGGCATCCAACCCTGATGACACTTAACAACGCTGGTGACATGCCTCTGTGTGAATACAGCACACTCTCGCTCCCATGCTCGTTTTAAAGAGCAAGGCCGCAAAGCCGAGTGGTGTGCCCCTGTGATCCCAGAGTGTAGGAGACCATGCAGGAGGATCTCAAGTTGGAAGATAGCCTGGGATATGTGAGACCCTAGATCAAAAAGGCAAAGGAGACCAGGCTGTGCTAGCACATGCCTTTAATCGTCTTGGCAGCACTTGGGAGGCAGAGGGAGGCAGATCTCCCAAGTTCGAGGCCAGCCTTGTCTACACAGAGAAATCCTGTCTCAAAATAAAATAAAATAAGGCAAAGGAGGTAGACTATAAGCAGAGTGAACGATCAAATGAGTGAATGGGGAAAGCGGTCCTGAATTTAGTTCGTCGGCATTTAATGAGTGAGCATTAAGGTCTGTGTGTTTGTTCACCTTTCCAGTAATGTCACTGTGACATGCCCATTTTAGAGACTCCAGTGTGTGTTCTTACTGTTATGTACATTAAACAAGCATTGTCATTACATTGGAGGATTATTTAATGGCGTGTCAGAAGAGAACATAAGTAACTTTGTTACCTGTACATCTTCACCCTGGAGGAAAAAATGAGTAATACTGTTTGAAATTGATACCATTACTACTTAGAGATAGTCACAAGAAATGCCCAGTCTGCCGTGGGTTGCAGTTTCGTCTCCCTAGTTTTGTGTGGTCAGCATGTTTGTTGGAAATATTTCTGTATCGCAGATTATTCACAGTGGCTTGACTGATGTTTTTTTATAACATGGATTTAAGATGTCACTCTGCGGCAGTGACAACCTAAAGATGTGGTGATGGCCACAGATTGTCTCTGTCAGGGTCTAGGCAGGAGCCTCCACGTGTCATACCATCCTTGATTTCTGTCACAAACAGGTGACAGAAACTCGTTGGCATGCTGTACACCTCTAAAGTCAAGGCCTCCAGGGGACTCACCTCTCCCCGCTGCTTCTGTGACGTATTCTGTTGGAGTGCTTGCCTAGCGTGACGGAGGCTCTGCTCAGTCTTCAGCAATGAAAAATACAACACTCCGCTGCCTGAATCTTCATTGGTTTGGGAATGTTTTGAAACCTGTGTTTCTCAGTCAGACACATCTTCCATTGACTGATGAAATACCAGTTTAAATCCGTTTATTCTGACTAAACACTCTCTTGCACCTGATCCCAACTCTCCTGATAATAGATTAGTAAAAACCTTCCATTTCCTTCCTCGATGAGGCTTTTCTTCTTTGGGTGTTTGGGAAATCGTTGCTACCACGCAAGGAGGAAACGTGGCCACAAGCGAGCAGATTCCCCAGCATGCCTCGGAGAATTCAGTGCACTTTGTGACTTGTGGAGGTAGCGTGGAAAGTGGCATGTGCCAAATGACCATCTCGGCAGAAACCCCCGAAAGTTACTCTGGACTGTGTTGTGAGAGTCCCCACAGCTGAGATGCGACACCCGAAGAGAAGCCCCAACTTGTTGCATACCTGCCTTGCTCTCCACGCCTTACCGAGATGCATAGAGCGCAGGTTGGGGTAAACTCTAGAACCCGCTGCCCAGAGGGAACCTCATCCTCTGGCCGCTCACACAGCACTCAGGTATACGTGCCTGCTTCTGCAGCTTGCTACGGGCCTCACCACAGCCAGACACACGGCCTCTGTTGGATGCTCGTCTTGGCAGTGTTTGTTGCTCTCGCCGTCAGTGCTGGCTGTGTCCTTGGCTTTTATCGTTTGCCTGGAGCTGAGCTCATTTGGCCAGTTTGAAACTAGGATCTCTCCAGCAAAACAGTGAGGATGTATATAGATGGTCCCTGGGTTTTTGCTAAACTACATTTCAACAGTTTGTGAGTTGTCTTTTAGATCTCCCTGTCCCTTGATAATCACATGCTATGCCCTTCTAGTACCAGTAGTTGGGGTAAAGGGGAGGGAAAGTCGTAATGGCAATACTGCCTGTCTCTCGTGCACAATTTCTGACTGATACCAAATAAATCTATTTCTTTTGTTGGTTTTTTTATTGTATGGTTAAAGTGATATTTATATAGCTAATACAGAATTGATAGTGTCAGCCAAGCAGAGGACGAATGTACCAGCTCCATAATTCCTCAAATGAACGTCATTGGTATGAATGAGAGTGGTTGGAGTTGGGACTGCAAGTTAGGTGGAAACTCTGCCATTATTTTCCAGGCCTTCTGCCGACTGCTGCTTCATCATGCAAAGTACATTGGCACCTCTCTTCCAGTCTTTTGCTGGACAAGGATCCCATGTTGTTGGGCTGTAGCAAACACAGCTAAGAAAATGCAAGAACCAAGAACTCCAAAATAGCATTCGTAGCAGGGGAGATGGTTCAGTCAGTGAAATGTTTGTCATGCACGCATGAGGACCTGAGCTCAAATCCCAGAACCCATGTGAAAATGTGGGTGTGGTGTGTGCACTATTGGTAAGCAGGGACAGGTGGATCCCTAGGACTTTCTGGGCAACCAGCCTGGCATGCATGGTGAGCTCCAGGACAATGAGGGACCCTAGTTCAAAGAACAAGATGGACTCTGCCTGAGGAATGATACCCAGAGTCAACCTCTGATCTTTCCTTCACATGTTGCATGTGTGCGTGCACACAGATACAGAAAACAAATGCACGCACAAGTATACGAGAGGCAGCTCTCGTTCTTCATACACACCTGGCCAGTGTTGAGTTTCTAGTATCCTTCATGCATCATCTGGACGAGACAAGCTAGCTTTCCAGTTAGTCACATCTTTAACCTATCTAGAAGGAAGTGCCCAAGACTGGAGTAAATCATTTTCATAAACCTTGTTCATGTTTACCTGCGGTTTCACTAAATGGGAGTAGAGAATTGGTATCTGTAAATTGGATTATTTCTCAGTAAACCAATAGGTGCCAATAAGGATCTCTGTGTCTCATTGCTTTTTTTTTATCAGCTAATTGTGAGAAGGGTTTGCCTCTATACCCAGGATTTTCCAGCTCTCATGAGTGTGTGTGCAGTAGAAGCAGCTGTGCACTATGGGGGAGGTAGTTGTTTTGATCTGATTTGTGCCCAGGTCCTCTGAACCCCAGAGGTCAAGCCACAAGTGCTGTGACCACAGGACATACATGATCCTGGCCATTGGGTGCTCTAGTCTGGGGTCTGACCCTAGGTAACTCCCAAAGTCTGAGAGGGGACTTGTGAGTCCCATAACCAATGCCACACTGGTCCCATTCAAGACATGAAGAATGATGCTGTGTAGTTGGTCAAGAAAGCAAGGAGCACAGCTTATCCGAAATTACAGACTTCCTTGCTAGATGCGGATTCATCAGTAGCATACTTACTGAATAGAAAACAACAAAAAACTTTTTCTTTCCTTCTTATGTCCTGCAGTTTATAAGATGTATCCGTGACTAAGCCACTCATACTTATTCAGACTCTGCGCTCTTGCGAAGCTCTTGCGTTTATAGAAGGATTAAGTGCGTGTTGAAATGCTCCCAACAGTTCTGTCCTGCCTTCTTTTTAAACTGGGTCCAACTCTGCCCCCAAACCCTAAATGGCCTTCTGTGCCTCTTTCCTGGCTGGCCACATGCTCCCAGCCCTACAAGAAGATCCCTTGCCCTTCCTTTTGGATGTAAGCACAGAGTGCCCGTCACCTTCCCTTCACACTTCCAGGTCTCCTGGTGACAGCTTGGTGCCTGCCTGGTGCCTCATCTTAGACCTCTGCCTTCACCCCTCCCCCTTTCGCCGCATCCATACCGAGTCCTGGACCTACTGTCTCTTTGTGCAATGGGATGGTTTTTCTGCCCCTCGGGGGAACAGAGAGCAACATTAACACTTTGCTTTCTTCTTCACAGACACGAGACGACTTCCTGGGTCAAGTGGACGTGCCTCTTAGTCACCTTCCGGTAAGGACAGACAGTTCCAGACTGTTGCATGCTAGGGGTAGGGTTTTAGGGATATCTGGCTAGGGTGTCTGTGGAGTATGACAGGCATGGCAAAAGGGCTGAAATGGGGATGTGAGCTCTGGCCTTGGCTCCTTGCGAGAAGGTGGCCCTCTGGAGGGGGTCACATAGAGGTTAATTTAGCTGTAAAAATCCCTGTGTCTGAATCACATGAAAGCCCTTGTCAACAGCTCTGCCTTGCTCCTCCTACTCCTAGCTCCTCCACCTTTAGATACAGCCCCTTATGGAATAGTTATCTTCTCCTGTCTTTAGCGTCGTTTTTGTTTCCCATGCGGCCTTTGGTCTGGCTTGTTGTTCACTTCCCTTTGGTTAAATAAAGCAACTACATCTGCACAGGCTGCCGTTTCCCAGGTTTTATGTTTACGACTTTCCATCTGCTCAGAGATGGAAGAGAACAGTTGGTTCTGAGTATGCTTATCCACTGGAAGGTTCCGCCCTCACCTCAGAGTGTTCCAGGTTAGCCTCTGTGGCTCTGCCTCCCTTCCTCCCTGCTCAGGGAGCAAACGGTGGGGGCTGTGGACTGTGACTGGGGTTTTGGGAGTCACCTGCACACAGCATCGGTGTGAATAGGATGGGAGACAAGAGCTGGAAGCCTTGGTGACAGTGGTGCCTCATAGACCAGCTGCCCTTTCCTGGATTGTCCTGCCCACCTCCTGGCCACCTTTCCCCAAACAGCTCAAAGTGTCATAAGTAGCAGCTACAAGAGGAGAGTCAAATATTTCTGCCTTACAAGGGCATTGTGTTTTTCACTCCTTGTGCCCGCACGTAGCATAAATAGTCTATAAACTAAAGTGCCTGGAGGGATCTAGTGCGAACCTGCTATGTGGAAATGGGGAACGCCAGGGAAGACTCCTACCAGGCAAGCTTTGAAGCTCTGCTGAGAAGGAATGCAGCCAGCAGCAAGCCATTTACTCTCTCTCACTTGGAAGCTCAGAAAGAGAGTCTTCGGAAGTGCATTAGGATATTTTTTGTTTGTAAGTACAAAGAGGAACTTCAGGTGCCTTATGGGTGTACTGCATAGTGCTTCTTTGGGAATCATATCCGAAACCTAGTATTTTTTTTCTTAAATTTTTTTTTAACATGGGAGGAGTAGGCATGAGTACGTGCCCACAGAGACTGAAACATGGTGTGTCAGATACCGTGGAGCTGGAGCTACAGGCCTTGTGGATGCTAAGATGTGGACTTTAGGCCTCTGGTAGACCAGAAAGCGCTCTGAACCACTGACCCGTCTCTCCAGCCCCAAACCTGGTGATTCTTTTCAGTTTTCACTCAGAGGCTGTGCATGCTCAGAAACTGCAAGGAAAGGTGTCATAGTTAGGGTCACTGCTGCTGCACTGAAACACCGTGACCAGAGCGACTTGGGGAGGAAGGGGTTTATTCAGCTTGTGTTTCCCCATCACTGTTCATCATCAAAGGAGGACAGGACAGGAACTCAAGCACTGAAGCCAAAGAGGAATAACTGTTCCTGATGGCATGCTCAGCCTGCTTTGTTACAGAACCCAGGACCACCAGCCCACGGATGGCACCACCTGTGATGAGCTGGGGCTCCCCCTTCAGTCACTAAGAAAATGCCCTCCAGGCTTTCTGCAGCCCAATCACATGAAGGCATTTACTCAGTCGGGGCTCCTGCCTCTCTCACAACTAGCCTTTGTCAAGATGACATAGAAGTAGCCAGGACACAAGTCTCAGGCATTCCCGACTCAGTGGGTTTTCCCTATCATGTTCTTCAGTTAAATCTGGAGGGGCACGCTTTGAGACAATGTTGATCAGTTAGCCCTTCTCATGTGGCTGTCCCTAGCAACTCTCTTCCAGAAAATAAGAAGCATGTGTCCTTCGGGGGCAGGGGGGATGGACTAATAGTCTTTAGGACTTTTAACTGAGGGGCTGGAGAGATGGCGTAGGAAGGAGTTCAGAGCACTTACTGTGCTCTTCCAGACAACCCGAGTTCAGAACTCAGCCGCCATGTCTAGTGGCTCCCTGCCACTGGAAATCCAGCTCCAAGGGTCCTGGCATCATCAGGTCTCTGCAGGCACTCACACACGTAGCATACAGACGTACACACATAGGGCTGAGTCAGATTGGCCGATTGGTTGGTTGGTTGGTGGATTAGTGGATTATAGCAAAAGAAGAGGGTGGGGAATGCTAACTGTGGTAGCACAGATCTTTAATCCCAGCACTTGGGAGGCAGAGGCAAGCCATCTCTTTGAGTTTGAGGCCAGCCAGGGTAAACAGAGCCATCAGTGAAAGTTTCACCAAGTGTCTCAGTGTGCCCTCCGTGTGTGTGATTTAGCAGTGGCTGGCTTTAAAGGTGGCATAGCTTCCAGGGAGTAGAGACATGTTCTTTGGAGGCTAAGTCAGTACAGGGAATAATTGGGCTTTGGAATTTTGAGTGTCAGCTTGCAGGGAAGTTGCTACTAACAAGGCCCTACACTAGAATAGAAGCCAGCTGATTAAGATCATTATGGGATCACAGTACATGGATATATGAAAAGGGCCTAATGGAAGTCAATATTTCAGGCAATTAATATATACTGAGAATTTTTTTTTTAATTTTAAGACCCCACAGATAGGACATCCTTTTTGTTTTGGGCATGCCCAGAGAGAAGCCTATATTATAGCACCATAAGCCCCTAGATAGACCAGCAGTTCTCAGCCTTTCTACTGTTGTAACCCTTTAATACAGTTCCTCATATGGTAGTGACCCACAAATATTGCTACTTCTTAACTATAATTTAGCTACTGTTTTGAATCATAATGTTAGTATTCATGTTTTCCAGAGGTCTCAGGTAATCCCTGTAAAAGAGTCGTCCAATCCCCTAACAGGGTCATGACCCACAGGTTGAGAACCTTTGCTGTAATGCAAATTGATTAGCCGTTTGAGTTAACTACCTTCAAGGAGATGGACCACATTAAAAACTAAAACAGAGGAGGTGAAGATACATTTCTGGTGTTCCATGTCATAGCAGAAGCCAAGTGGTATATTCTGCATGTACTTGGCCTTGTGACCCTGGATTTGAAGTACTGTTACGTGTGTTATTTGGCTGTGTGTTATAGAACCCTTGTGGGGAAACTGCACAAATGCTCATTCTGTGTGGTATTGCAGTGTGAGAATGTGTTGCGCATGCTCGGTCTATCTTGTGGAGTACATAATGGATGTTCTGTCTTGAGAGGTACATGGCTGGAGTATCTGTGGCCTACAGTCAACATTTGTCAGAAATATCCATTTTCGGTAAAAGAAACAAAGAAGGTGAAAATTTGTTCCAGTTGTCCTTTTAATTATGAATAAGGAGAGGATTGGGGCTGAGAGAGGGCTCAGTGCTTAAGAGCGTTTGCTGATCTTGGGAAGGACCGGAAGTTGGGCTCCCAGCATCCACATCAGATGTCACAGAGCAGCTAACAACTCCAGCGTGAGAGACTAACCCCCCTTCTTCTGGCTTCTGTGGGCGCCACATGCGCACACACATACACACTCATATACATAAATAATGATGAGAAAAGTCTTTAAATAATGGAGAAGATCCATGGAGCGAGAGCTAGAATGTGGGGAACAGCGGCCCTGCTGGCCTCTGCTCCTAGCATTAAGGGTTAAGGGACATGATTATGTATAGATGTCTTAGCTAGGGTTTCTCTTGCTGCAGAGAAACACCACGACCAAAGAGCACATTGGGGAGGAAAAGGTTTATTAAGTTTGCACTTCAGCATTGCTGTTTAGCACTGAAGGAAGTCAGGACAAAATCTCAGACAGGGAAGGATCCTGGAGGCAGGAGCTGATGCAGACGCCATGGAAGGGGGCTGCTTACTGACTTGCTTCCCCTGATACCAGCCCAGGGAAAGCATCACCCACCAAGGGCAGTTCCCTCTCCCATTAATCACTAACTGAGAAAATACCTTACAGCTGGACCTCTTGGAGGCATTTCCTCAGCTGAGGCTCCTTCCTCTCTTATGACTCCAGCTTGTGTCATTGACACACAAAACCAGCCAGTACAATCTGGTTATTAATTGATAGTATAACCCAATTAGCAGCTGAAGAAATACGTACTGATAGATGGAATTCTGATCTTTGTGGATGAATCAGTGAAGCAAGTTCTCCCTCATGGGACATGTGGCATCACTATAGCCACGTGTGCTCAGGTGTTTGAAATACAGCTGTATGATGACGGGAACCATGTATAAACATTTGTCATTTTCATTAAGGTTTAAACTTAAGCCACATTGGCAGGTGACTGCTGTCATCAGGTGACACCTCTGAAAATTAGACCAGAGTTCCATGGCTTTTGGTAAACCATGCTTTCAGATCCTGGGCAACCATGGGTTGGGGAGCCTGAACCCAACAGAAAGCCTTGTTTCTCTGTAATTCTGCATATACAAATACAAAGTATTTCATGTGGACAATTATAAAGTTATTATCTCCAAGATTAAAGTTATAGAAATAAAGATTAATTTTTTTCCAAATTCCTATTAAACAGACAACTTAAATACCTATTCCTCCATGTTAATATATATTCACTTTTAAAGTATTATCTTTTTCTATTGTGCCTGTTGCTGGGTTAGCAAGAACCTTTTAATAAATTTATGGCCTTTATATTCTTCTTTCCGTGTGTGTGTGTGTGTTGTGTGCACACACATGCTTCTGCCATGGTATTTAAGTGAAGGTCAGAGAATCACTCACAGGAGTCAGTCTCTCTTTTTATTATGTGTGTTCCAGGAATTGAACTCAAGATTGGCAGTTGTCTCCACCAACTGAGTCATTTTGCAGGCCCTGTAAAGACATTTTTATCACATATATGATGTCATGGACTTGGAGGATAGCCCCTCCTCATGCCCAGCTACGCTCACCTTTCTCCTCCCTGTCTTAGTTCCCATTTTACCTCTTAGACTCCACATGAGAGAAAACTTGCAATGTTTGTCTGAGGTTTAACTTAATAGACTTCAAACCAAATTGA